TTCTGACCTCCATCACTTGCAAACTGCAGTGTCTCCGACCATTATCGTATGTCGACTATGATCCTTTTGACCACCATAGTTTACCGACTACGATTCTTTTGACCACAGTAGCTTGTCAATTATTGTCCCTTCAACCTCTATCACCCATTAACTATGGTCCCCCCGACCACCCATCACCCACTTGCTATGATTCCTTTGACCACCTTCACCCATCGAGTATGGTCTCTCCAACTTTTTTGGCCCACCGACTATGGTCTTTTCGATCACCATCGCCCGTTGACTACGGTCGCTCTTACCATCATTACCTATCGACTCCCTCCGACCATCATTGCTCGTCGTTTACGATCCCTTCGACCTCCTTCGTCTACTTACTACAATGCCTTCTATCTCAGTCATCCGACTACGGCCTCTCGGACCTCCTTCGCTCAACTATGGTCCTACTGACCAAACAAAAATACCAACACTCTCTTCAGAATAGCTCGAATGTCATTAGATTCTCTACACTCTAACTATGTAGTGTGCTCTAAGCCAACATCTTCCCCCAGGAAGGGCATCATTTGAAATCAACAACCAACACTAGTGAAATCATTTCAACTATGCATGATACTATAGTTTTATCCCCTTTGGGGGTTTACTCATGAAAAATTTGATGTCTTTTATGACTCTTTCACCCCTCTTTCTTTTCTGTTTGTATGTTAAATTTTTGTACAAAATTAATACACTAAATTTTATCTCTCTCTACCGATGCAAATGTTCCAGGACGCAATAACGTGTATTTCTAATGAGATTAACGAGCTCCTCGCCCAAGGGATTAATCTTTCGATTATGAATGGAAAATGCAAATCATGATACGTCTATCAATATAATTTTCTGTTTTGTTAATAATTATGATTCATTAAGCTGTTCTTGCATCAAAATTAATGATGTTTAAGAGGACAATAATTAATCAAGGAAGTCAACATATTGGTTGCTTCGTGATTGACACCTATGTGTTGGTGACTGTATATCGGTAATCACTGCAAGTACAAAACTCACTATAAGTCATCCTCTAGCAATGGCGGATCTAAAGTGGGGGGGCCTGAAAAAAAAAACGACATCTTCCAATATTCAACCAAACAAACAACTTCAAGTTAGTTCAGCTGAGTCTCAGCTGTCCTGCCCCGTCCAAGGGATTAATCTTTCAATTATGAATGGAAAATGCAAATCATGATACGTCTATAGGTAGAATTTTCTGTTTTGTTAATAATTATGATTCATTAAGCTGTTCTTGCATCAAAATTAATGATGTTTAAGAGGACAATAATTAATCAAGGAAGTCAACATATTGGTTGCTTCGTGATGGACACCTATGTGTTGGTGACTGTATATCAGTAATCACTGCAAGTACAAAACTCACTGTAAGTCATCCTCTAGCAGTGGCGGATCTAAAGTGGGGGGGCCTGAAAAAAAAAACGACATCTTCCAATATTCAATCAAACAAACAACTTCAAGTTAGTTCAGCTGAGTCTCAGCTGTCCTGCCCCGTCCAAGGGATTAATCTTTCGATTATGAATGGAAAATGCAAATCATGATACGTCTATCAGTAGAATTTTCTGTTTTGTTAATAATTATGATTCATTAAGCTGTTCTTGCATCAAAATTAATGATGTTTAAGAGGACAATAATTAATCAAGGAAGTCAACATATTGGTTGCTTCGTGATGGACACCTATGTGTTGGTGACTGTATATCGGTAATCACTGCAAGTACCAAACTCACTGTAAGTCCTCCTCTAGCAGTGGTGGATCTACAGTGGTGGGGCCTGAAAAAAAAACGACATCTTCCACTATTCAACCAAACAAACAACTTCAAGTTAGTTCAGCTGAATCTTGGCTGTCCTGCCCCGTCCCTGCACTCAATGTTGTAAAACATAATTTTGGTTTTATCTAGCATAATAATTTATATCCAGGCGGTGTGGGATTAAAGAGCCTACAGTTTTTTTTTAAAATAAAATTTTTAGATGCCGCGGAGGAGAGAGAAAGAGGCGGGAGTTCAAAAATGCCAAATATATAGAGAGAGGGCAGGTGGGAAATTGGAATGAGGCTGGAGAGAGAGAGAGAGAGAGAGAGAGAGAGAGAGAGAGAGAGAGAGGGGTAAGAGTTTAATATTTTTTTTAATTGAGGAGAGATAGGTAGAACTTTTATAAATTCTTAGTAGAATATTTAATAAAATATTATAAAAATAAAAGTTAAAAAAATTTCTAATAAAAATGGTTAAAATTAAAAAAACTAAATTAGTAAAAATAAACTATTAAATTAGTAGATTTAATAGTATCTATTTTTAAACCTAAATGATAGAGCTTCTTAGTTGAGCTCTAATCGAACTTCTAAATAAGTTTGTTAACGAGCCCTTATCGAGTCGAGTCACGAGCAGCTCATCAAAATTAAAAAATATCTCATGATTTATAATAACATTAAAATATGATATTTTAAAATAATTTAATAACTAGTATAAATTTGTGCCCCCATTAAAATTTTTTTCTGGCTCCTCCCCTGTCCTCTAGTAATTATTTTTTAATCAATAAAACATGTTATAATATATTTTATTTTAGAATTATGTGATGATGATTGATACATTTTCATGCGTAAGTTTATTATATTCTAAACATTTAAATACGAAGCAATCACATAAAATAATGTTTATTAAGAGCTCCAACGGTCACAAATCACCCGATGAACTCCAACTGATGGGAAGTCAACTCTTTTATATAAACAACGAAGTACTAATTATTAATTAACAACTGAATTAAGCAGCCATATGATGCTAATTAACTACTATTCATTAGTACGTAGGCCGACTGAGGCGGCTATAATAAATTAGGTCAGAGGACGGCAAGCTGCCCTTTGTTTACTAATGAAGACTTTCACATTCAATTATTTGATAAATAAACTGAATAATAATGCCAAGAGCTGCCTTTCTCTCTGTTGGTTGTCAGCTTCTTCTTAATGGCCTGAGAGGTCTTCATTGAAAATTAATTTCACATGCCTGCTGATGCTGCTGAAAGCTGTCTTATTAATGCATCACCTTCTACATATAAATATATATATTTGTTGGCTCATTAATCAATTAACACGTTAAAAATGTTTAATATGCTTGAGTTTTTGTTAGGAACGAATTTCTTACCGTTTCTTAAAACAGTTTTTTAATTTTGAAACTAGAGAAAGCTAAAGAGAAAAGAGAAAGAAGCTAGAAAATTTTATTTCTTACTTTTTGGCTTAATACAAATTCAAATACATCACCACTATTTATACTAGTAGTACACCGTTAGGATTATGCCAACTTATTTTAATCTAATGATTACAAATGAGTCTCTATAATATTCTCATATATTCTATCATAAATAACATTAAATGCATATTCTAGGCTTTTCTAATAATTACTCAATAGATTTATGGATTCAGTCTTCTTCAATAGATTTCTCAAGATTGTGGCCTTCAATTAATCAAAAGCCCAATTAACTAATTAAGTTTAATTTCCAACAAATAATGTGTCATTAAAATGATTAGAAGTATAATTTAGCTCTTGATCTTTTATATTTAATCCTAATGGCCTACGCTTTCACATTGAAATTAGGACTCTCATTACAACATAAACATTTAATAGTAGATTAATTAATCCAACTGTAGAGTACCTTTGATTCCACAATATAATCAAAATAGTGAGCTCATGCCCCTATTTTGTCCAAGAGTTTTGTTGACTTTCCTTCATTTAATAAAAGAAGAAGCAACAAAGTCAGTTCATATGCTGATATGCGTTGCCATCTATATTTTATGACACATCAAGTACTAGCTATTTTTCTAACCAAGCAAGCATCTAGATGTTTAAAAAACATCCACATGTATTCATCATGACTTCAACATTGATTTCATTTGTAAAAATTCTAACAGTCAGAACAAACAATTAGTCATCAATGGCAAGGACGACTAAGATGGCGAGGCTTTGTGATATTCTTAATATGTACCTTTTGAGTCAGAACAAATTAACTAGAGTTGTAATTATCAAGACAACCAAGGTTGGCTGATGATTGCAATTATTTAAATATAATGTATGCATACATATATATATCAGCTTAATTAATCAGCAAGTTCAGAGACTGCAGTTTGGTTGTGTCTACTCTAAAAGATATTACTATTTTTTTTTTTTATTAAAAATAGCAGTGCTGTGGCACTTGTACAGAAAATAATTTAGTTGAATGCCAAGCAGGAGGAGCGTTGCCTCCTGCAACCTCTGAAGAGCTCGACCGACGGTATTTAGGTCTGAGACAAAACTACATTTCAATAGACCTACACAATCAGATTTCACACAAAATTAAGAGTGCCGTCACTAATTGGATAATCTCTAAGGAAACTTTCAATTGTAAATATATCATTAGAGGGCAAGAACAACAACAACAATATCAAGTCTTTGTCCGACTACGTGGGGTTAGCTACATGAATCTTTTTTCTCCATTGTGTTCTATTAAAAGCCAAATTCTCATTTAAATCTAATAAAGAAAGGTCATTTCTAATATTTTCTAACCAAATCTTTTTAGTTCTACCTCTACTTTTTTTTAACATAAGTCAATTCTAATACATCTACTTTCCTTACTGGGTTATCGGAAGGCTGCCGTTTTATGTGACCAAACCATCTAAGATGACTCTCTCTAATCTTATATTCCAGTGGAGCTACTCCAACCTTTTCACGTATATGCTCATTTTGTTAATTTAACTTAATAATAATTATTAATAATATTTATTTATTTATTTCAAAATATTTAATTTGACATTAAATTATTAAATAACTTAATTTAGTTTAATAATATTTATTTTAAAATCTATTTAATAATATTAAATTTTTTTAATTAGCTAATATAAATTAGTTAATTTAACTTAGCAATAATTATTACAATAATTAAAGAACATGTTTATTCAAAAAAAAAAAAAATACTCAATATTCTTCAGCGCCGAAGACATCGACCGAAAATTTTAAATTTATAGTAGATTAAAATCAGGCTAAAATTTCTGAAATCTTGATCGATCAAAATTGTATATATGAACAGTCTAATCTATCTGTATGTAAAACTGTTTTATATAGTATCATTTGATCGAACCATATACAAATTCTAAATCAATGGAAGCAGTCAACCATCGCCGGAGTCAACGTGAATCCCAACAGCTTCGGCAGCTGCCGGACCTCCTCCGCCTCCCCCCGCTCCAACGGCGGCAGGTTCAAATCAATCTGGGCCGAACTCTTTTCCATCACCGGCCTACCCAACTGACCCGACCCGTTGCCCTCCGCCGTGGCCCGATGTCTCCTCATGTGACCACCGAGCGCCTGGCCGATGGCGAACTCCAGTCCGCAGACAGAGCACTCGTGCACCTTTGGCTTCTCCGGCGCGGTGGCGGAGGTTGCCGCTTCGCCCATCCTAGGCTTCTTGTGGCTGGCCCTGTGACCGCCCAGCGCCTGGAAAGTCGTGAACTTTCGGCCGCAGGTTTTGCACTCGAACACCTTCCCCTCCGTCGCCTCGCCACCAGCAACGGCGGCTGTGGCGTGGCCTTTGGAGAGAAGCATGAGAACGTTTGCTAAGTTGAAGCTGTCCGCACATATGGTGGAAACCATGTCGTCTTCTTCTTCGCTAACTAATCTGAATCTCTTCGCCATTAATGAATGAATTCTCAGAAAGCAGTTTCAGCAAGAAAGAAAGGCAAATATTGGATGTGTGATAACTTTGTTCGGGCTTCGTAACTTTTTATAGGGTTTTTAATATTCGTTTTTGACACGCCAATTTGTCGGTTCAGATTTCATTTTAACACAATAAAGAAAAAAAAAGTCCTAAAAGAAATGAGAAATTCTTTTATCAAATTAATGTTATGTTTAGATTCAACATACATACAATTTTAAAATAATTACAATAAAATATTCTCAATAATAAATATTATAAATTTGTACTTAGAATATTAGATATATGTTGTAATACTTATATATTTAATGAATTATTTTAACAATAGTAATTATTTTAATAATTTAAAAATATTTGAAAATTTTATATTTATTTTGAATATGATAATGTGTAAATATTCCTCATTTCTATTAACTACTTATTATTACAAACCACCGAAGCTTAGGATAGTTGGTGGGAGAGCATAGTTGAGAACTCCCATCCCGATTCGAATCCCCTCTACTATGGCCTCACCTTTGCATCTTCTTATAAAATATTCTAAGTTTCGCCGATGGATTAGTTACGCTGTCAAGCACTCCCTTTAAAGTGGCAGCGGGTATTTAACTGTTCCAAAAAAAAAAACTTATTGTTACAAACTAATCAAATCTGCGCCATGATCAATTTGCAGTGTCAAAAACGAAAACTGAGGACTCAAACCCTAAAAGAAGTTGTGAAGACCAGAGAAAGTCATCACACGTCCAATGTGCATCTTTCTGCTATAGTTTCCTTTCGAGTCAATAATTAATGGCGTTCAGATTCATATTAGTTAGTTAAGAAGAAGAAGAAGAAGACATGGCCTCCACTGCATATGGATTTAACATAGCAAAGATTCTCCTGCTACTCTCGAGGGGCCACGGCACAGCCAATGCTAATTCCGTCTGAGCCGCTGGCGGCCAGTCTGTTCCAGACTTCCGGCCGGGCATATGGCGGAGGGACAGCCGGGGAAGCCTAAAGAAGGTGATGGCCGGAACTGTTAGACTTTCTGGAATGGGGGAAAGCTTATCGTATTAGTTTTTGTCAATTGATTAATTGCTTAAGCAAATTAACTTGTACTTTGATCTTAATTAATTAATGAGGTTTGAGATGACAGTAATTAATTATGGAAGGAAGTCAACAGATTGGTTGCTTAGTAGTAGTGATAAAAGATATATTAATTAATTTTTGGGTTTGCAAGGCCGGGTAGGCTACATACAAAGAATTTCATATATTATAATTTTATTAAAAATTATATATTAAAAAATGGATTTTTTTTTTTTTAAGTATTTACAGTGAAGATTGTTAATTATACTTAGGTTGCAAAGGAAATCATGGAATTAAAGTCTTAGGGGTATGTTTGGAATGTCTATAGTATTTTACAAAATTAGTTAGTGAAGTTTTTGTAGGTTAAGTAATTTAGTTATTCTAGTAGCAAACAATAATTTTTCCTCAAAATTTTTATTTTGAAAAATAGAGAGAAAACATTAGGCGGTTCTAAAAAAATTGTTGTTGTTATTTGAAAAATAAAACAGGTACAAAACTATCATAAACATATCCTAATCAACTTAATACAATGATAAATTAAGGATTTATTTGGGTCGGCTTCAGTTTTTTATACAATTGATTGTGAAATTTTTGAAGTAAAAAGAACTTAGTTACTCTGATTATAAAATTTTTTCTATAAATTTTTGAAAAGTAGTTATAAAATGATAAGAAAGTTATAACCAAATAAAAGTATAATTGCAATCACAAAAAATAAAATCGTGAGGAAATTGTCTGCATAATAATTGTTAAAATTTGTAAATCTTATTATTATTATTATTTTCAATCATATATTATTTTCCGCAACTAAACGCTTGCATGTAATTTTATCATGCAGTGTTAGTGGTGTTATGTGTGAAATATGATTGTGTTGATCAATCTGGCTATTTTATTGTCTCGGACTTGAGTTTGGGGAGTATACCCTCTGCTTGAGTTTTGGTGCTTTGCACGTGAAAATTTTTTCTCCCGTACAACAACCCGGCGTTGTGTTCCAGAGCGTCGCTGCGGTATAGATATTGCACCACAGCAGATCAAGACAAAGGTTTGAGCGCTGAAGCGCCCAAATTAGTGTTGCGAGACATACTGGAAAGTTTTTTTTTCTCATTTTTCTGAAGGGTTGCGTCCCTTGAGGTTATTTTACTTGGGTTTCTCTTGTATTTTCATAGTATGCAGCATTGAGAACGATGGGTGTGAGAGAATAATTAATGAGAGAGTGTGAGAGAGAAGAGAGATTTGTACTTAATTATTTCTCTCATTTTTCATGGTGGATTTCTTGGTGCGGTGTGGCATCGTAATTTTTTTTCTATTTTGGATTTTCGCACCTTAAATCATGATGTACTTTATTTTTCCGCTGCTTTTATTTTCTTTCTTGTTTCATCATCGTGGTGTTTACTACTCATCATCCCAAAAAGTGGCATACTTTAAGTCTGATATTAGAATAATTCACATGTTATTTTTGAGTAAATATAATAGGTTAGATGATTATTATAACCAACTATGTCTAAAAAATAAGTTTAATCAAATTAATTTTTTACTAAAAAATTATATTATGCAAAATTAATATTTAGACTGATTTGAAAATTTTTTTAAAAATATTTTATTAAGGTTATTTTAGAAAATATTGCTTACTCTAATTGGCATTAAATTCCCAACTAATTGAACCAAATTTAAATTGGTAAATTAGGAATGGCTCCATTTTGAGTCTTTTTCAGTTAATTTGTTATTCATTAATTTTTAAGTCATCACAGAATACGAGAGTCCTCAATATTAATTGTCATTGGAATTCAAATGTTTAGGTGAAGTTTCAAAATAGCATAAGAAGTTTATTAATGACTTTAGTTGAGACTGATTGTCCTCCATTCAAAAACAAATTGGCAAAACTTATAATGGCCATCCATATTAAAACTTAATTTTCTAAGCCTATAGATCGCTGGAAAGATTGCTGAAACTATCTCAATAGCCTGAAAAACCGACATCTATAACAAATAGATCGAATCGGAGATCAATTGCTCGTTGAGAGAAAAAATACGAAGCATTGTAGAGTATTCTACAACAACTTCATTTCCTTCTCTCAATGGCAATTGATCTCCCATTTGAATCGCTATTTTAGACATCTACAAGGACTTGTGGACTTGTCTTTATATATATATATATAATATCCTGATCAAGAATTATTTCAAATTTTTATATCCATCTAAATTGTGCAGTCAGCAATGAGGTATGAAATCTCAGTTGAACCTTATAATGTAAAACCACACAAAGTGGCCAGCCAGATCTTTGATCTTTACCATGGCTGTTAATCTTGACTGAAAGCATATATGAATGATGAAAACTTCCTCTCTCTCTCTCTCTCTCTGGATACTGAGAATTTCCTTTTCTTCGAGTGTTCATATATAGAAGAGAAAGTATCAAAGTTGAGTTGGTTTATCTACACGTTTTTGTTGAACAGTGACTGCTTGTCAAATGGTTGAACTCGCCAAGGCAAACTGGACGATTGATGCTCGTTGCCTATCAGGTTCAGTTTCTAGAAAAAAAAAAGTAGAGCCCAATACTCATATCAGTCTGGATCAAATTTGTCAAATTATCTCAAGAATTTGAACCGAACGCATCAAAGTATTCGTCAGGAAACAATTAAGAACTTGCTAATTAAGCTAAAAGTCATCTAAAATTGTAAGCGAACTTCTATATCAGATCTTGTTAAATCCCCTGAAGAATTTAGATATGTTGAAGCAGGTTGCTGTATTGATAAGATTCAGCAAGGTAAGTTTGATATAAGAAGATGCAACATGTAGAAGAAAGCATTATTTTTCTCTCATCCTGTTCCAAGCTACAGTAGTTAATAAATATATATACATAAAGGATATGAAAAGGTTGGTTACACAGCAATGGTTTAGATCAATGCAAAACATTAAAAAAAAAAGTTGTCAAATCAAGCCTTAAGTTTTTTTTTTTGGGGGGGAAATTAGCCTTAAGTTTTCTATGGGACAGTTTTTTTTATGGTGGTGGATTTGGCCGCATCGAGATGAGACCTTTTTTTTGCTGCCCGGCCCCCTGCCCGGCCGCTGCCCTGCCCCCTGCCGGGCCGCGTGCCGTGCCGAGTGCCGCTGCCAGTGCCAGCCCGC